AATTTAAATTTTAAATTTTATATTGTTAGATACACACGGCTGACTTGGAAATTGTATGCACAGAACATTGATAGTACCAAATGACAAATGGTTTGTTAATTAATTGAGAGTTCTTCCTTTCTTCACATCAAAATAAAGAAGAGAATACTGTGTTTCCCAATGCTATTAAAACGAGTACACTATTATATTTATGAATAGTAAGTATAATAGTAGCAGTTATGAGAAGATGTAACACTCAAAATGTCAACTTTATTTTCTGATTATTAATAGTGCCTCTTATTCTTCAGTTTCTCTGCTTTTTTAGTGACAGAATATTGAGTTTCAAAGCTCTCAACTATGTACTTTGCCCAATGTCAATTAAGCAGTGTCCATTGAGCATGATCACATTTTCAAACTAAACATTTAAATCATTGTTTATAGTAACAGATGATATACCATTTTCCCAAATTTTTGTCTGAATTTAACTTGAGAAAAAAAGTTGCTATTAGTGTAACAAAAAATATTTTCTTTCATACACATTATTTATTTTGAGGTAGACCAACTCTTAGGATTTGCAAGTCTTACTTTTCACTTGGGTTTTATTGTGGTTGTTGTTAATAAACTTTGTATACTTATTTTTTCTCATCAACAATGACTTCTATTAATTGACTTTAAGTTAGTACAAAGATAAGTGAGTTTGAAGATTTCAATGAGATCACTTATCTGCTTTTTCCAATTTCTCGATAAATTGTCCTTGGTTATTCATGTATGTTTTAAGGAGCTATCACATAGGAGCTAAGAGAAGTTCTAGTCTTCCTCCTGCTGTTGTTTTCCTTTAGTATGGTGTCATTTTCATTTAGCCTGTGGATATCTGCTCTTCACCAACGCCGTATTGCAGATTTGAATATGATAAGGTGGCATGGTGTTTTGCAGGAACCTTTGTGTGCTTAGATCATAGTTTATTCCATTGAAATTTCTGAAGCAAAGGGTAGTATTTCCCATCTGTCTCTTGGGATTTTATTTAAAATAGATTTTTTGTTTGTTTGTTTGTTTAATGTTTGCTTGCTCATTCTTTTTGCTCAGGGCCAAAGATGAGTCCAATGGTAAGAGAACCAGTCTCTGAGATAATAGAAACATTGTTTCTCTTGGTATTTCTATTCTCCTTCCCAACTAAATACTTCGCTTCTCTCCTTCTCCTAATTATCTTCCTGGGAAGTTTCATAATAACCCACTCTGATGAGAGTCTTGAATATTACTTTAAACATTTCAGTACTATAGCAAAGCGTTCTTACCCTCCCTACAGATAGTAAATCCATTTTTTAAGTTTATTATAATGATAGTGAAGACATGAGTAAATATAAGACTTTCATATAATGAGAAAGAGTGGTTAAAATATCTGAGATTACTTGTTAAAATTCAAATTAACCTATGAAAATCTTGTGCTAGAACACATGTAGTATAAGGATTATTTAATGTTCATTGTATACCAAGAAACTGGAAAAGCATCTTCAAAGAATAAATCTCTGATCCTGCTATCTTTTGCCCATATGTATTGAAGTGAAAGATTAGTAGAAGAAAACATAAGAGAGAATCCTTGAGAATGTGATTGATAGGCCAATATTTCTTAGGTAAAACACCAAAAGCACACACCACAAAAAGCAAGCTTAAAAAAAAAAAAAACAAATAGTTTAGAAAACTTTGGCCCTTTTGAATATATGGTTAAGAAAATAAAAAGGTAAGCCACAAACTGGGTAAAAATATTTGTAATAAACATATATGACAGAGGATTTGTATCCAATAATCCAATGATAAAAATTGGCAAAATATTTTAATGCTCTTTGCAAATGAGATATGCTTATAGTTAATGAACACATGAAATGATGCTTAACATCATTAGTAACCCATGGAAGAGAAAGTTAAAACCACAATGAGCTTCCACTGCACACCCATAAAATGCCTAATTTTTTAAAAAAGACTGATACACCAATGTTTCCAAGACACAGTGCAAGTGGAAGTGCAAAATATTACAATCCTTTTGGAAAACAGTTGTCAGTTTCTTATAAAATTTACATAATACAGGATATAAATTTGCCAGAAGATCCAGATGTATCATTGTCAAGTATTTACTAAAGATAAATTAAAACACATGTCCAAAAAAAGATATATATATGAATGTTCAGCATGTTTTTTTCATTAGAGCCCCAAACAGGAAGCAACACAAATCCCATCAGTAAGTGAGTGGATAAGCAAATTTCTGTCCATCATGAAATACTACACAAAATTTTGAAATAATAGACTACTGAAATATGCACCAATATAACATAATGAATTTCAGAATCATTTTGCTGAGTGAAATAAGCCAGACCCAAAAGAATTCACTTCTATACACTTCTATTTATATGAAATTCTAGAGCAGCCCAAAGCAGACTAGTAACAGAAAGCACACCATTTTTCCTGGGAGCAGGGATGGGGATAGTTGAATACAGAGGCCCATGAGGGAACATTTTGAGGTGACGAAAATGTTCTGCATCTGATATTGGTGGTGGTTACATATATGGATATATATATATATATAGTTACATATATTGATATATTTGAAATCTATCAAAAGCAGATGAAGCCATAATTCTGACAGAACATTTTTTGAAGAAAGTTGTGGATTAACAAAATCATCAGTTTTTAAAACATCAAATGTAACTTAAGTATTTCATTTAGATATTAAATTGTATCATTATTGGTATTATTGAATGGAAGAGTAAATGGATTAAAATATGAAATATGGATAAGACTTATCTTCAAAAGGTTTACAATATTATTTTATCTAAAAGAATAAGCAAATTGGAATGACACCTAAATTACAGATCACTGAAAAGCAAATGGGAAAACAGTAGGATAAGCATGAAAATACTTTATGTATTTCTCAACTTGGTAACTAAGTACAGTTTATCAGATGTTGTCATAATGAGATGGATTTGTTTTTTTAAAATATTTATCTCAATATGTCCTCAGAACAGTAGAATTAAGGTGTCACACTTCAAGATTGATTTGAAAATTATAGCTAGAACACAATTTTCTCTTAGAATGACATTCAAAGAATCAGTGTTACATAATGTAAAATTTGGAGTCTGCTTTTTACTATCCTTTGAATTATACATTAATGTCTGGAAAGTTGTGGGAAACCTCAACCTTTAAAGAAGTTTACCATGAACCTTGACTTTGCACTCATGTTCTTATGAAAATTAAACCTTCATTGGAAAGACTGTGATCCAGGCTTTTCAATTTTTACAAATGAATGTCATCTATGTCTCCTAAATATATAATTTTTGAGGGTATGATACTTTAGTAAGCTATGCAGGCTGTCTATACTACAGGTAAATATCAGATAATTCAACTATGAATGAACTGTGTCCTGTCCCTTGCTTAAATTCTTGTGAGAAATCCAACTTTAAGAGAAGTAGCTCAAGAGTCTTTTTTCCGTGTTTTTCAGCATAAAGCTTCATTCATGTCTTATGTTAACATCCTGCGGTAATTAGTTAGCAAGACCAGCCTTGTTTCTCTATTATGTCATATAGTCAGAGAGCGAGAGTCAGCAATTCATAATATTTCCTGGTTTTGATCAAATAAATGGTGTAGAACTCCGGAAAAATTTTGAAATTAAAGTCAGTAACTAACTCACCTCAATTATCTGGTGCATGTATTTTCCTACTTCCTTTAGTAAATTATTGTCCAATTTTTACCTAATTTCCCTCTTTAGACGTTTTTACTCAATGCACTGCCTTATATCAATTTCCAAAATAGGTGTGGTATGTGTTAAATTAACATTATGCTGAATATCTTGGTTCCTGTGTTTGTAGTTCTTATCCTTGGTTTCTGGACTAGGGAGTCATAAGTAGTCCCAACTTAATGGATATTTAAAATATGTCCAGTTTATTGTGCATACGAATACAGTGAATTGAAAATAATCCTTGAATAGAAAGTTTCTAAGAATAAGTAACGGTGGTAGCACCTATGCTTTGAATGCGTTCTTTTGCTGAAACTTAAGTGAGTCAAACTTGTCTATTTATATCCTTATCTCACTTGAGGTGAATTCATTCTTTGGTTTTAATCTTCACTGCAAAATTTCTGTGTGTTTGCACGTATATTTAGAAACCAAGCTGAAAATGTGGGTATATATTCTTTTCAATGTTTTATTTTCTTTTGTTTTATTTGCATATGGGAGAATCCCTCAGAGAGACTGTGTTAAGAATATAATAAAATGACTTCTGTTGCTACCTACTATTAGTATCTTTTTCTTGCTTTTAGAAAAGCAAATTAATGATGAACTTCTAACTGGTATCTCTTTTTTAGGCTAATCTCACATTAAATAAGTTTTAATTTTTGTATTTTTAAAAGACTAGAAAAACAGCCATTAGCAATAATCCAGGCATTCTCTTACATTTGTGTAAATCTTTTATTCTTACATTTTTGTTTAGCAGAATAAAAGAAAGGTAAAATGTCAGGGGCTATGAATTTAGGAATTTAAAAAATTTAATATTTTTTCAGTTTGTAATTGTATATTGTGGCAGATTGGTTTACATAATGAAAAAATGGTTGCAATGATTTAGATCTTTATAGAAGAAAAACTGTAATACATGTCTGAAAATCAGTCTGAAATACATTGAAATAGCAACATAATGAATTATTACAGCTACAGTTTAATTTAAAAAAAGGTTAGATATTAATTAAGCAATGATGATAATAAATACCACCCTAACACAAAAAATGGCCATCATGTTTGATAAAATGCACTTAAAATATACATGGAGAGTGATAATTTGACTAATTTCCCAGATAATTGTTTCTATATAAGGAAGGATTTATTATATAATTATGATTAAATCAACATTAAATTTGGTATTTTTACATTCATATTTTACTTATTATTTATTTATTTTAATTATTTATTTATTTTTTCTAAATTATGAATAGTCAAAATGACTACAAAACAATCCTTATTTAATTCAATTTCACTGTCCTTGCAGAGTACGGACATGAGTCCAGCAAGCAGTACCACGTCACTTCCTGTTAGTCCTCTTACCGAAGAGCCAGTGCCTTTCAAGGTAAAAAATAAACAAGAAAGCATTATTTATAAAAATTTTAGGATAATTAATAAATAGTTTAAAATAGTTTATGTGTAGATGGTGAAGTGAACTGCTTTAATCTTCAAAGCCCTGATTTCAAATCTTAAAATCATTTTTTCGTGTGTGTGTTCTATTGTCATTCTATTGCTAACTAAAGGTAAAGGTTTGGAATGAAAATTACTGCTTTATGGGACGATTGTTTGTCTTACATATAAATGGTGGGGTTTTATTGTAATAGGTTGATTCACATGAGTTAGAGGTTTTACATATTTTGTTTATATTAATTATATTAATATAATTCATAGGGGTAGAAGGAAATATTCAGCCCTCATCTAGTGGTTAAATTTTCATTAGCAATGCTAGGTTACCAATAATTAATGATGTAATCCTTTTAAAATAAGAGTCAAAATCAAGAGTTGAAATATGGAATCATTCCACCAAACGTATTGTATTTAATAAATATTCAAGTAAATATGAAAATAAGTATGTGGTATGACTGGTGGCATTTTTTTTCAGTTTGGGAGGCTATATACATAACAAATATGAAGTCTTGTTTTGCCACTTAAGATTAGATGTTTCCATTTAAGCCAAAGCTTGTAGATCAACTATTTTATGTTTTTACTGGGGTATTTAGATATTATTGGTATTATTATAAATAAAAACAATTCTCAAGAGCCTGAGGAAAAAACTTAAAATGTTGGGATGATGTACTTAAGTGCACTTATTTCAGTATAGTTTTGTTCAAAGACAGGTGCACATTTTAAGATTATTGCATTTATGATTGTAGTATTTTAACATACAATTATTATGGTTTTTTTTATTTTTCATATAAGGACTGTATCTTATTCAAGTTTATATTGCTTATACCTAGTACAGTTGCTGGCATGGATTTTCATATACTGAGTATTGCTGTCTTGTTGAAATGATAATTATAGAAGGCTATGAATTCAAATAAGAGTATTAACTTTTCTAGTTATGGATCCTTTTTTGCTTAATGAGAGTCAAATATTTGTTAGAAGTCCCTTTCTATACCTGCTAATTGTTAAATACAGAATGATATTCTGATTACATTATTTATTGAAACATTCTTTATTATTATACAGATAAATGAGAAAATAATACTAATACTACAAAGTTTGATGTTACCATTTTATGGTATGTGGAACAAATTTACCAAAGAAGCAGATCTGTAACAAGATTTTGGTTGAATCCTCCAAACTTCACCAGAAACCATTTTTTCTTTTTAATATATTGACAATGATTACAGTCTTTGAAAATTAATGTATTTTTTAACAGAAGTTAAAAAAGGTTAGACATATTTCAGAATCTGCTGACATAAAGCTAATATAAATACAATTATTTTAGTTAGTTTCTCTAACTGGTTCTGAGAGATCAATAGTTTTGGGGTAAATGCAAATTGTTCTAAGGAAATTAAAACTTCCAAGTGCTTATAATATATAATATTGTCTTTTGATGGACAACATATTTATAGTGACTTTTAATTTACTTCTTTTGTGAAAGGAGTATTGCCTATATCTTTTCAAAATATTTAACTACCTATAAAATTATCCCTCTAGTGTTTATAAGTATCTAAACTTAAAATTCAAAATTATGAACTAAAACTTTTTCTGCTGCTTTCATTTTTAGTTTATAAATTGCCATTATGTAAATGAGTAATGTAATACTCATTTAATGTTATATAAGCACAAAATATATAGAACTATTTTGAACAGAATCTTAAGAGTATAAAGCACTGTAATTTCAAGGATATGTTGAGAATTATATAACACATAGAAGACATTTAAGTTTTCTTGTAACCATATTCTGAAAAAGTCTGATATTATAATTCATATGTCTAAAACTTTGATAAAAATTATGATATTTGAATAGCTAGGTAACTAGAAAATAAAAGGTTGTCTTTTTCACCTATTCCCCATGGATGTGACATGATATTTCATGTTAGTGTTAGATTGATCCTCTTAACCTCTTAACTTACTTTTCTAAGATACGATGATTTCAGCACTCAACCCCATCACAATCCACCCTAATATTAGAAGAGCAAAACTTCTTCTAATATTGGTGGGTGATTGAGGTATTTGACTTTCCTTTTTCTTCTGGGAAGTAATTAGATTACTAGAAGAAAGGTATTTCCTCCACTTTCTTGGTCAGTTTTGGAAGCACTCAGAACAGTTGGAGGAAGATATATTGTTTTGGCTGGTATGTTTATCAAGGTGCATGTTTTTCTTTAAGCATTACCTTTAGAAAGACATTCAGATTAAGTTGATTTCAACCACATCGTTTGAAATAAAGACAAATGGTAATTTTTTTAATAAAAAATGAATACTTTCCCACTAATACCCATGCCTTTATTCTTGAATGTTAGATGAGAAATTGGCTATTGTTAAGAATGTACCATAGTAAGAGCTATTAAACTAAGTATGGAAGAAAACAAGATGGCATCCTAGGGACTATCCCAAGGTAGGTTAAACTTCAGAGATACATGAATTTAAAATGGTAATTCAGTCTTGCTGGAATCAAATGTTTATTTTTTCCAATATGGCAGCATTTTTCAACTTTGTTAATATTGGAGCCCATTCTTTCAAGTAAATAAAAATGATCTGCACTGAAAGATAGTCTAAGCCCCACATACATACCTACTTCTCTATTCCCCCACACTATGGTTCAGTTCCTGCTAAACTCGTGTTTACTGTTTAAAAACCATTGCTAAAGTGGTTTGTTTGGTGTGGCTATCCTTTCAAAACTGAGGACATTTCACACAAAAATTCATCCAACGTTGTCTTAAACAATTGAAAAATCTGAAAACTTTGTGTATCTCATTGTAAATAGAACTACTTGACAAGAGATGAGAAGGCTTTCTCCATCTAGACAGAGCACATGAACTCCAGGTCACCACAGTCATCACCATTCCTACTATATTCATGCCAGGTGATGAATGCATTTGACTGTATTCCTGCATAGAAGATAGTGTATAATTCACAATCTTCCACATATACTACACATAATAAACTCCAGATTTCCTGGGCAGCCTCTTGGTACTGAGGAGTTTCTAGGATGCTTGGTTCTAAAAAGTTTCTTTTATAAGAAGTGTCAAATTCTTTTACCTTTATAAACTATTGTTATGAGCATCTATTTGGAAACAAAAGGCGAATTATAACCTCTATTTTTTGTTGTTTTTTAATAGAATATTCAGCATTATATCAACTGTACATACATATGATCTGACACATACCATATATCATTATAGAAGAGCCAAAGGATAACCAATTTTGCTTAGGTAGGAACAAAATGTTATCAAACATCAACAAGAGAATCATAAAAGTTCAAGATCATTAAAGCGAGACATTGCTGTGATGAAAAACAGCGGATTGCTTAGCCATTAAGTTTTTTATAGTTTTCTGAGGAGTAAACCTGAACAAAATTGACGTTAATTTTAATGTGCTCATTCTATCCTTTTCTATCTTTTCCCTCTGGCATTCTCCCTAATTTCTTGCAAACATTGAATCACTTCCCATCTCATCTGCCTGCCATCTCCCTTTGTTAGCCGTGGTAAAATGCACCACACCGAAGATGGCTTCAAACCACTACATTTTACTGTTCTTTAGTAGGATGACCCTTTCAATTTTTTTGTACATATGCAGTTATTAGCAGCCTGAATCCATTTCTGGAACTAACACTCTTGAAGTTAAAGCTGGCTCATTGTTCCTGACCCTCCATAAAAGTACAATTTATCATGAGCCATGTTCTTCTTGCTAATCATGTTCATCAGTTTTTGAATTTATTTGTACTTTAATGAAGCATGGTGGCTACATTTTAGTCTTTTTTCCTACTTAATGTTTTTTGATTAGATATGTTAGAAAATCATCTTATCCTACTGTACTGTATTACATTTATCCTGTGATAAATTCAGCAGGAAATAAAAAAAAAAGAAGAAGAAAACTTCTATTCTTCTTTGGACTTCTGAAGACTTTTATGCTTCAAAAGTGCAAAAAGGCATTGAGGAATACCCTCCATTCACCAATCCTTGATCAAAATTTAAAACAAACAAATGTAATTCAGTGCATTTCTTGGCCAATTGACTACTGCCTCCCTGGAATGTTTGCATTCCTGGAATGCCTAGTGGGATTGTCACAGTACCTAGAATGCACAATGGCCCCACCCTCTCTGAGGTATGGCCACAGTCCCGAGGAACTGACAGTGTGGCACTTGCTTCTTTCCTGGGTCTCTTCTTATGAAATCCAAGGTTCTCTGACTTCTTTTCTTCATCCCTAGTTATTACTCTTTAGTCTAAAGAAACTCCAAGCTTCCCTCAGAGATGTTCCTTCTCTCCTTAAATGCACTGAAAAAGCAATAACAAGAATAAGAACAAGAAAAAACTCTTTGTTGTACTTTTTAGGAATAGAATTGTGTCTGAAGATTCTTCTACCATGACATAAACCTAAGTTTAATATGCACAGAGCCACTTTGCTTAAGCAGAGGATGGAAAGGAGGAAGCAGAGAAATAAATTAATAAATTGTTTCAATTTTTTTTTTTTTTTTTTTTTGGTAGGCTGGGTGTAATGGCTCACCTCTCTAATTCCAGCACTTGGGGAAGTGAGGTAGGAGGTTCGCTTAAGCTCAGAAATTTGAGCCCAACCTTAGCAACATAGGGAGACCCTATCCCTGTTATTTAAAAACGTGTATTCTACCATGAAATACTGGTATGTTAAGCAATAAAAATGATGCTTAACTTTACGTGACCATAGAGCCTAGATTCAAGAATTAGTAGTATGTAGTAACACACAGTTTGCTCTCTATTGTATAAAATAAAGTGTGTAGAAAAAAGATGGAGTAAATATAGAATTATCAATCTTCAACTCAGGATGGATCATACTGTTTTAAGAAAAAATTTCTGTAGTTTCTGTAATGACCACTTATTTCTATTTTTAAAGCAATGTTTATTTTTAATAAAGCAGAAAAGA